TACAGGGATGACAGACTTTATAGGGATGACAGTTTTACCATTTGACATAGACACATCTTAATATTATTGTGTATGAAGGGAAAGTAAAACTAAGAAGAATTTAAACTCTGAGTATGTTGCTTTTTAGTTAAACACAGGCCCCTCGAGACAAAAGGATAAAGCTAAACGCTCAAGGACACATCTGATTATTTAGAAACAGTAAACACGCATGTGTCATTCAAAGCATTCCATTTTCAATCTTCTTCTATACAAATATTTGATAAAACACATACAAGTATCTCTACCAGAAAATCACCTGTAGCAATAGTCCACAACAGTAACGAAGATTTATCCTTCAAGTTCCAAAATGACTTAAGAACATTTGCAGGTGTAACTGGAGACCACGGAACTGTAGTGCACGGATGACAAATCCTCTATTACTCCTCGGCGGGCGCTCTGGGAGAAAGGCCCCCGGAGTATTTTACCACTGTTTTTTTTTTTTTTTTTTTTGTTTCTCTGAATGCATTCTGTGGCTGTGGGTGAGAGAGACAACATCCCAGCCACGCAATCTTAGAACCAGTTGTTTCAAGAATTCCAGAGCTACAGAGTGGTGAATTTGATAATAAGTTAGAGATTCTTAGTATTAAGACTTTGATAATCATCTCTTATCTCCTAGCAAATCACAATTGCTTGAAAATCTCAGCATTCAATTAAAAATATTTGTATGATATTTCTGTTTGTAATACATCTTAATTCTTATACAATAATTAGGTCTCGGTCGAGGTACTTAATGCTGGGGATACTGATGATCACAGACGTGATATCTGTTATTTATAAAACTAAAGTCTGCCTTCCCCTGTAAGTTATACCAGCATTCCCCCACACCTGTTAGGTTTCCTGTTTGTAATACTTTTCTCAGAGTTCCTATTTATTCTTTACAATGACATAATAAAAATTCTCTTTGTGAAGGTAACTCAGTTCCACTTCCTGCCAATTCCAAATAAAGAGATTTTATCTTGTAAAAAATGGAGATATGACCACAAAAAAATTCATATTTTAACAATGGAGACTGATGGAGGACAAGGATAGAAAGACTGGAAAGGAGGTGCTCCAAGGCCAAATCTGACTCACACAAGGAGGTGGGGGTCAAGGGGAATAACAGGACCACTGGAGGGCAGGACCCTTAGGGGCCAGTGCCTGGTCACCAGGCAGGAGACCCGAGCAGGATCAGATGCTCTAGGGAGTGGAGCACAGGCCTGAGGGGACGGATATGGAGATTGGGCCCACCCTGGGATCTCTGGCCCCTTCCTGGGTTTGCCTGTCACCCAGCATCGCCAGCAAGCAGCCGCTCCTCGGAGGAGTGACCCTCCCCGAGAGAAGAGGACTGTCTCAGGGCCGTCTCTGCAAGGCTCGGGGCAGCCGGCCCTCTGCCCACCGTGACTGTGCAGGTGCCTCTTCCTCCCTCTGCAGGGCAGCAGCCTCCTGCCTGCCGGGGCCTGTCAAGGCCGCCCGCCTGCAGCCACGCAGGCCTCTCTCAGCAAACCTGCCCCTTTCCTTTCCCCTAATAAACCTGCTCTTTAAATATCACTGACGTCTCTGTCTCGTGGAGACACTCGCCGCGTGCCGCTGAAGGGAGCTCTGGCGACACCTTTCCCGGAGTGACCAAGGGCCCCGCTCTCCACAAAACCCCATCCGAGATCTCTGGTGGCAGAACGTGACCATTTTATTTTTCTTGTAGTATTTTCTAGTTTTCTACAAAGTATATGAACTGCCTCAGTATTAGTAAAAGACTAGTTTTAAAATACAAATTCTACAGAAAATGCATGACATTTTTATATCAATAGATCCACTCATCAGAGAAAATGTGTAAAAGAGGGATACTGACAGGAGCAGAGAGCAAGGGGAACTGGAGGTATATCTGTTCACAACACTGTGACTTAAGGTGCCTTTAGCATCTTCCACGGCACTTCACATATAAAAGGGTGTGCAGTAAAAACGCTGTCTTCACTTTTTCTCAATAGAAGTACAACGTTTTCAATAATTATTCGATAGTTTAGTATAAAAGGTACTTTGGTAAATGAACTCACAAAGCATAAAGGATATTTTAGGTGCCTTTGCATAATTGGTCTGTTTCTTTTTTCACCAGGATGGGTCAAGCTTAATGGTTTCTAGGAGCACCACTATATAGGCAAATCGGATTCCTGCAAAATCAGCAGCCATTTTAGAATGTACATATTCACACTGTGCTTGCCTTCGAAATGAGCGGGCGAATACATAATTTTTACTAAGAGGGTATTCAATTTTAGTTGAATATGCTGATATGCCAATTTTATATTGTACAAAAAATTCATATTTAAGTTCTATTTGAGAATTGTTCACCTTTTAAATTAGTGGCTGATCTTTTAAAACTCCATCTTTTTTTTTATTGGAAATTGCTTGGCATATGTAACTAGGACTTTATTTATATCAGAGGTAGATCTGGAGGCTAAGGTGTCTGCAGCCTACTTTCTAACTCAGTACACTGCAAGTTATCCAGACTAGCTAAGTCTCAGTCCTTTTAACTGAGAAAATGGAGAAAACAGCATTTCCTCATAAGGTTGTGATGATTAGGTGAGATGATGCTTAGAAAACTGCCTGTGACAAAGAGGAGACTCTCCAAACCCCTTGACATGCTCTTCCTGTCCTGTCTAGCCCAGGAATTCTCCAGGGCTACCCTCACCTCTACACAGATGCCCACAGGCGTCTCCACGTCAACAGGTGGAACAGAACCGTTGCTCCCGGCCGGCTTCTCCCCAGAGCCCCCATCTCACTAAATGACGTCATCACTAACCTAGTGGCAGAGGACCTGAATCTGAAGTCTTTATGCTTCTTTTCACACATTCTATCAAATTCCATTTAGATCTATGTTTAACATACTTTGACGCCAACCACTTTTCACTGGCTTACTGCTCCTGTGCCAGGCCGGCCAGCACCCTCTCTAGCCTGGACAACCTCAGAAACCTGCTGTTTTTGCTTCTCCCTGCTGGCCTCAGTCTGCTTCCCACCCAGACTTCTCATCACACACACACAACGTCCAAGCCCCTTCCTCGTCCAGGAGGCTGAGTGCTTGGTGTCTCTCCGCCTTCTCCCCTGGCTCTCTTCCTTCATTGCCCCCGTCACTCTGGCCTCCTGTGCTATTGCTTGAGCATCGGAGCTCGCCAAACGCCACTCTGCCGCCACAGCCCCGGCGCTGCCAGGCCTCCTGCGTAAGGGTCTGTCCCCGCACAGCCACACGCTTCTCCAGTTCATGTCTTGGCGGGACTATCAAGCTGTTCTGGACCAGGGCATTTAAAGGAGCACTGCTGGGCTGTTTCATTTTTATTCGTGGCACCGTCATGACTGTGTGTGTGTGTGTGTGCTGTAAACATAAAGTCGTTATCACCTGCTCCTCGTCCAGTAAGCAAACACCTCAAAGATGGGGACTTAGGTTTGTTCATCACTGGACCCCTTGTCAAGAACCGTAATGGCCACACCGCAGCTACCCCAGGAAAACTTTTCAACACATGGGGATTTTACCTAATGTTAAATCGTCTTGGGTGTAGCCATGCACTGTCATCACTACTGAAATCAAGCAAACAAACATCAAGCAGAGCAGTTATAAAGAATTTGTTCTGCTACAGCCCATATACTCTGCAGAATCACTACAGATCTAAGTGAAATCAGGGTCATAAAATTTTTCATGGATTTTTCACGGAATCTAGTAGCAACCTTGCAGAGACAGCCTTTAATTTCATCAAAGTGCTGGAAGAAAATAAATATTTTTAAAAGGTTCTGTATTTAAAATGATTAAGTGATTAATTACTTGATGGAATTCTTGCAACAAAGGAAAAGAAAGAGAAGCTTTCCCCGGTTTCAGTACGAAATGGTTCTGTACTGAGAAATGATGGCACTAGGGGATAAAACTGCTTTTATACACAAATAAAAGGAAGATGTCACATCAGTGGTAATGAACTAAAAAATAATTCTCTCCCTTAACAATTTTTTTGTAGATGTCCCAAGCTGTGGCTCTCAAATAATAGCTAAATACACGAGACCTAAATTCACATAAAAATAGTCGTTTGAACCCATTGCATGTCTAAATTCTGATAGATACTCTGAGCCACAGAAAATAACTTCCCAATATCATAAAACTCCGTTAAATTCAATCAATCAAAGTAATGTACGAGCAAAGTTCCAGCAGATTAACTCTCTGAACCTCTGTGCCTTTGTCTGTGCTTTTCTTAGAACACTTTTTCCTTTTGTTTGCAGACATTTCTGGACACAGGAGCTTTGTGTAACCCTGGCAGCCCTCGGGTGTCCGCACAATGACTGGGCTACTCAGCAAATGTTTTCTGAATCACAGAGCAATGCAGAGGGTTAATGGGGGAATGTTGGGGCAATGTTGGCAGTAATGAGTACAGTGGCTATATGTGGAGCGTTGCCAATGAGCCCAATTTCTGCTTTTTTATGTCATGCCTCCTGAGAGGAGAGTCCGTGAGAGAGTTAGATAAATCTACTATAGGCATTCACGCGCTATCTTCTGCTGCATATTTGTGACAACTGTAAGAAAGCAAATCCTGTGTGTCGTCATTTGTTTAGCACCAACTTTTCTACCTTAAATTCCAGAGGGCAAGAACCATATATGGCTTTTATCTTCAGCATCTCGCTGTAGTGAGGGCTCCATAAATACACTTTGAATCAGGGAATGCAGCTAGGATTGTTCCACCACATCATCTAGAGATGACAATCCTCTCACACTCCGCCTAGCCAAGTGTTCCAGGCCCTTACAGTTTCACAGAACTTAATCATTTGGTTGTCATTGTTTTGTCACATGCATCTTACAACAAATAGTTTCTTAGTAGCACGTATAGTTTAAATGCAGCATTTTCTTTCTGAATATTATGTAAAATAACGTTGTCATAAGTGATGGTGGTTTAGAATCAATGAAATAGTTACCACTCATTCCATCTCAATATGGAAATATGAAAACTTTAAGTACTTACATCAATTAGATCTGAGAGATCATGAATATAATACTTGAAAACTGAGGCATTGGTTGCTTCAAGCGTGAGGAGATATTCGTTCCGTGCCTTAATTGATTTTAGCTTATTTTCCGAATACTTTGCTTGTCTCTGCAAGTGAAGAAGACACAGGAGTTGGGGAAGACGACAAGGCAACTTTTTAATGACAGGGAGAAACATACAAGAATTTATATTAATCAAAACACCCAGTCTACGTCTACAGATGACCTTTGAAGTCTTTTGAGAAGGACTTTGAATCTGATTTAAATCACAAACTAAAATTACGCAGCCAGAGAAGAAACAACAATATATTTGGGCTCCAGGCCCATTTGGGATGAAATCTCTTTGTTAATATTCAGTTTCTACATTTGTACCGAGCACTTGGCATTCACCACGGAACGGTGCCCAGCTGCTGTCGCGGGAGTCCAATGTCTCTTAAACACGCTCATTCCCGTGAGAGGAAATGCAAGTCCCTTCCCAATAACTCACAGTCAGTGTCGACCAGCCATTGCAGTGGTGTTTTGAGTACTGTCCCCCCAGCTGAGGATAAAGCAGCTTTGCACCAAAGTTTTCGTTACCTTTTCTTTCATTTTTTCAATTTTCTTTACAGAGCTCCGCCGCTGGTGACGCTCTTCAAGTATAATGTGGAAGACTGTGTCGCCAGACCTGCCGATTTGCTTTTCCTCTTGCTTTTCGGCCTCCTTGAGCTTGCTCTCTGCACTGACGCTCTCTGCATGGTACATGTGGTAAGTTTTCATCACCTGCAAAATGCGACCCGAACTGTTAGAAGATGTCTGCAACGTAGAGAGTGAACGGAAATCATCACATCACACACTTATTTGTTTTTTTTAAAAGACTTATTTATTTATGCATGCAAGAGCTGGGGTACAGGCCAGAGGTGCAGGGGGTGAGAGGATTCACCAGAGACAGAGTGGGGAACAGAACAGGTGGATCCGCTGAAACACACTGCTGAGGGGAGCTGCGGGGAGACAGGAGAGGTCTGCCATGCCATGTGGGTAGCTCCCTGGCTGGGATTCGAACTCGTGCTGCAGTAATTGCAGGTAGCTTCATAGTGCTGACACTTAACCGCTTGTACCCACAAGGAGGCCCACACATATATATGTTACAGATACAATCGTGCCCTGGCAGGGAAGAGCTGATTGTTAGTAAAGTAGATGAATTATGGGCTATTGCTTCTACATAGAGCAAACAGAAATATGCAAATTCACCTGCCAGGAAGAGGCACTTAGGGGACAGGCTTTGATGAAAAAATGATTTACAGCCTTACGCATGCTTTCAATGTACTTGAAAAGTTCCCTTAAGCTTAAAAGTGTTTCTCTAAAATGTCCTCTGCATTATTAATTTGCAGAATAAACCATTATTCATGGATGCATTTGAGCCTGACCTTGGAATTATAAACTCCAAATTAGTATAGCCCTTACTAAGGGATTTTATTGCATAAAATCTACTCGTCAAAACACAAAACTTAAATATTAAGGTCACATATAGTTTCAAAGAGTTGTTCAAGTACTTTATGAGCAATGTAGAAAACAGGTGATATAAAAGGAAAAGAAAAAGCAAACAGAGATATCACTGTTAAGATTTTGATATACACCCATTTAATCTTTTTCCTATGAAAATACACACATAGACACACTTCAAATTAACACACATCATTTTTCCTTTTAAGAAACTAGGATCAGGGCCTCCCCTGGTGGCGCAGCGGTTGAGCGCTGTGCTGTGAAGCTGCCCGCAGCCTCTGCAGTGCTGGTTCGATCCCGGCCGGCCGGCGAGGGTCCCACAGACCTCTCCTGTCTCCCCGCTGCTCCCCTCAGCAGTGCTTTCGATCCGTCTGCCTGTTCTGCTCCCTGCTCTGTCTCTGGTGTATCACCCTCCTATGTATCTGGCCTGTACCCCGGTTCTTGTATAAAATAAATAAATAGATCTTAAAAAAAAATAAGAAACTAGGATCACATTTTATCTAATTTTTAATCTTCAATGTCCTTCTTTGACCTTATATAACAAAACAGTTTCCTCTATTACTAAATATTCTTCTAAAACATGATTTTAAGGGCTCCGTAGTATTTCTTTATACATTGTGCCATAACTTACTTAACTAATTCCCTACTGTTGAACATTTTAGGCTATTTGAATGTTTTACTTTATAAGTAAAGTTGTGCTGAAAACCCCTGATGTATTTGCTACCACTTTTGCTCATGGAAATTATATATAATTTGCATTTTAATAAATTCAAGAATATGTGAATCATACATGTTTGCAATAGATCCTTTCCATGTATATTGTAACTATAATGAATCTTCAATAATTAAAAATTTTGATTATGTCATTGTTACAGATATATTCATGGGTAAAAATGTCTAATTTCCTAGGATACATTTTCAGAACCAGACTTGCAGGGTTAGGGAATCTACACACATTTGAAGTTTTTACACATAATGACAATTTAACATTCTGCTAACTTAAAAAGAAAATGATCTATATAATTATCTCTTAAAGCACTTTAGATAATGTAGATGGTTAATAAACGTTTTCTCAAATGATAAATCTTACTTATTCTTACAGTAATACTTATTGTATCTGGACACATCTGTATTCTTAGATACAGAAGAAAACAGTCACTGATTTTCAGAGATTTTATTTGAAAATCAGAATTTTCCAATATAATTTCAATCTACTCCATGTACTGAGTCAGACATCTGGGCCAACTCTGAAATCTGTTTATTTCAAGCCCAATCCTACTTCCTTAAAGGAAACAACACATAAGCTATGACTCTGCCATGGATGTAGCAAAGAAGATACTAGAACCTAGTACGCAAGTAATCATTGGTGGCACTTTCTCATAAATTAAGTCAAATTTTCATCTGCAGAAGACAGCTTTATTTCATTTGTAAATACCACAGTTATTCAGAGTCAACTCTATAACTGAAGTGCAGCTGCTAAGTAGTTAAGATTAATGTTTTGAAGTAAGGAACTTGGTTTTTCACCTTCTAAAAGATGATTTTTGAAACAGTTTAGCAACTGCAACGATGGCTGGAAGTAATAAGTATTTATTTAGGCTGAACTATATGAAATTGCTGATGTTGTAGATTATATTAAAAAGATAGAAAATCAGCACTTTCTTATAGTCCAGCTTAATTCATGTTGTGAAGATGACTATTTGGAAAGCAGAGCAGGAGTTCATGCAGAGCTTAACTTGTTTTCATAAAACTGGACGTCTTGAAAATGCAGGCCCGCAAGTCGTGTCCAGGCGTCGCTCAATGGGACTAAAGTAAGGGCCGAACAAGGTGGCGGCCTTTTCTGAGCTGTGAGTAACTGCTAAGTTGTCTGTTTTTAGTAATTATCAAGCCTGTCTGGGGAAAACTTGGTTGACTACTCCAGTTTAAAAGAAAAATAAAACAGTGCCAGGAAGTGGCTGGAGCTGGGGATGAAAAGGGAGTCACCCACAGCTGGGCAAACACCGAGGTCAGTGGGTCTGCTGCACACCTTGCATACTTAGGCTTGGCTGTTTACGCTCCCTGCCCATGGGGAGCCCACACCCCTTGGGCCCGTTCCAGCTAGACCTCAGCTGAGAAGGGGAAGGACCCTGTCTCTGTCTCTCTGTCTCTGTGTGTCTCTCTCTGTCTAAAATCAATATAATTTCAATAATTCTCTCTCTCTCTCTCTCTCTCTCACACACACACACACACATCTTGCTGACACAAAGGAGAGAAGCAACAGGAACACGTGACTCCCATCATCCATCACAGTTTGGTGGAAAGGTCTCGCAGACAGCGCACATCTAAGAAACCTTTCTTTTAAACATGTCACACGCAGCCCTAAATTCTTGACTCTGCTTTACTTCCATGCTGAGAACCCGCGCAAGCAGGCAATTTGCACAAACTAATAGGCCTTCCACACCGAGGAGATGGAGCTGGCTGCCAACACTGCATTTCTTACTAACGAGTCTGGGTTCAGAGAAGACTGTTTGAGTCTCACCTGACCCACCAGCAAGATAAGGGTGTGACTGTCTTATGCTGGGGCTCAGCCAGTCTCTGAGGAGCCTCTACCCAGTTTTACAGTCACTTCCAGAAAGGAATTTTCTTTGTTCAGTTTTCCAATCTGATTTATGGTCTTCACTGTTCTCTAAAATGTTAAGTTACAATGAATGAACTTTAAACGTTGAGGAGAAGAACACTAAAAGCTTTTTGAGAACCCTAATTGCAGATAATGAATGGAAGTACAAACTACATTATTTAAAATGAAGATGTTGACAGAAGTTAAAAGTGTTTTGCATTTAAAATAAAATAACAGTTCTCTCTGTTTCAGAGATGTAAAGGGAGGATTTATTTTTTAAAGGTGCATTTTGAATACCTGCTGTAAAGAAAATAAGATTCTCCATCAGCTTAATGCACACACAACCTTTGCACACCAGACAGCATGAAGGCGTGTGGTCATTTAAATGTAGCCCCAAGGGCACATTCTCTCCTGTTTGAATGCTTCTTTTCTAAAACCTCATGCATACTTCTTCATGGAACACACTCACCTTACCTTCTCTGCTCCATTTTCTCTTAATTGTTGGAAGCATTTTACAATTTTAAAACTCCTAAGAACTCTTTTGAGAACATTTCAGAACTCTGAGGAGGTAGCTACTTTCTTCTCCCCATTATGTAATAAGAAAAGTGAGGCAACAAGAGGCCACAGCCGTCACTGACAGAGCAGCTGGGAGGCCTCCTCACCCCAGTCTGGCTCCAGATTAGGTGTCTGGACTGTCCTTGGGAAAGTCTAACGCATTCTCCCAGCGGAAGGCCTCTCCACCTGGCGTAGAGATCACTCTTGGTCATGTTTAGGGAAGGCGGAGGAAGGAATGTGAGGTAACTATTTACTCCTCCAACACTTGCACGGAGCTTACCACCTGGAGGTATGGGTGGGGATGCTCTTGCCCCAGAATCTGCATTTTACTGCTCCTGCTCCTTTCCCTGAGCCAATCCCACTGCCAGGATGCGGACCCAGCCCCTCCCCCAGCCGACACTTTGACGAGTCCTCCCGGCCGAGCTCAGATCTCACCCATGGTAAAGTCTCTGCAGATCCTCGGTGAGAACATTTTTGTTCCAACCACCACCAGGACCCATGAGCTGAGACACTTCAGACTCTGCGATCTGGGCTGTTTATTTGTGTAACACTCAACCAGGATGGGTTGTCCTGTAAATCCACCCACGGTAGCAACGGTATCTCAAGCTGCTCTTGACCTTTACTATTACCTCTGGTACTAAAGGCATTTGGCGAGAATCAAACAAAGGAAAGGAATCATTTTACACTCAGTTTGCCCATTCATTTATTCATTTAACAAATATTTGCTGAGTGCCTGGATGGACCTGTTCTCCTCTATTCCCAACATTCAAAATGGCGCCACCAACAGACGCTTGGGGTTGGGTTAATGGGATGACAGCTCTGAATCATCTGTGAAACATGGTTCGCATTAGAATGAAAAACAGTGTGGTGGCTGGGGGCTGAGGCATGAAAAGCAATATGTTAGTAACAGTATTTCCTAATTTCATATAGCCTGCTGCTTCACTAATGCCATCAATCACTAAAAGCTCTTCTGAGAAACTACATGACAACTTAAGATAAAGATCTCTCTCCTCCAATCAATACACACGAGAGCTCTGGCTGACACTGAGCTGGTGCAAGCGCAGCCCATCAGGCAGGTGCACAGCCTGGGAAGGCCGTTCTTCATGCTTCCAGGAAGCGCTCAGGTCCACGA